TTTTTCGTTTTCCTTGGGGATTCCACTTTAGGGCAGTCTTTGCAATACTGGAGTTATTTTTTCGGAGTGTGTGACCGATCCAACCCCACTTTCTGGACTTTATTTCATTTACTACCCTCTTTTGTTTGGTCAGGTGTAGTAAATCTTCGTTTCTGATGATGTTAGGCCAGAAAATACGAACAATTCTTCGTAGACATTTATTAACAAAGACCTGCAGTTTGTCTGTAAGGGTTTTTGTCGCTTTCCAGGTTTTACATCCGTAAAGTAGTACAGACATGACATTTGACTTAATTTTAACCAAAATTAATATATTATATTAATTTTGGTTAAATATCAGAAACATTTGAGTATTTACTGATTACAAATTTAAAAAATTTTAAAACTGCTCTCCTTAAAAAGTAAGAAAATGGACATAGCGTCCTTTACCTCCGAGGTACGGATATGTAAAATTAAAAAATTGATAAAATTAATTAAAGACATTAATATACTTAAAAAAATTTAAAATTTATAAAGTAAATTATCTTATGTATGTTCGGATAGATTTCCAAAGCCAAACGTCCGTTAAACTTTTTTTAAATCTGCCTTTCTACGAATATGAATACTATTTTTTGCAGTTTATGTTTGCAGTACATATATAATAATATCTTTATTATACTACATATTGAGTTGTAAGTTATAAGCTATTAGATCTGTATTTCTTATAAACTCTATGCCATCTATTGTATTTTAGAGAAGTGATGAAGCTTTAGAAATATAAAGCAAACCGTTTTCGATAAACTTATGGAGTAGTTGACTTCTTTTTTTTTATTTTGCCAACCTGAATGTCCGATTAAACCCCTGATTGCACCAGTTGAATACATTATTAATATAAATTGACGGTCGTAGTCTTTATATATATATATATATATATATATATATATATATATATATATATATATATATATATATATATTGTTATGCTATGTAAAATTGAAAATAATATTGGTTTGCTTAATATATTTCAAAGTACAAAATATAATAATTCAAATAATTCTACTAATAAACTATAAAAGATATTTCGAAGAAATGAAAGTCCATTATCCTGGATTACCTGTAGAAAACAAAATTTTAAAGATATGCATGAATTATTTTTTTGTAAAACATATTGTGAGTGACATGAGTGCAATTAGTGAAACCATGAACAATGCGAGCGGGTTTTCCAAATGGACTTGTACAGTGGATAAGACAATATAATGAATATTTAGGAAATATATTTCTCCGTTAGTTCTTAAGAATTTGTAGAAACCGATTAGCATGTAAATAGTTTTTAGGAAATTTATAATTGTAGGTAAAAATTGTTGTTTGTTATCTGAATGAAGAGATGGAGATACGTATGACGAGCTTTGATTGGAGGAGATTAAAAAACGTGGGATGGTTTGTAAGAATGTGAGTTAGCTAGATTTTTGAGGGAAAAAAGGCAATCAGTTGTTTTTAAAGTGTAAAAGGCGAACGGTCATTGTTCTCTGGTGGTTCACAAGAGGTAATAAGCAGTAGAAGTTAATGTTAGTGAGTTTTTCGTGGAGTTAGTGTATCTGACAGAAGCTGATCCAGTAAAATATTGTAAGTTATATTTTTCTACTTATATTTCAAGAGTCACTGATCAGACCAGAACGACAGAATCAGTTTATCGAGAGGAGAAGGGGCGAACATCATTTGAACGATACATGCATTTGAAGGAGATCATTAAAGACGATAGGCTCGCAACAATTTGTTGTAACATTGTTGATTACCTAGGGAGCTGCTAAGAGTAGATAGTGTAGGCTACAAGGAACAAGGATTTGAACAACTCATCATCAGAGAGATAGTTTTACTATTCGTCAATTTTTTTATTAACCACACAATTTTTACAATTGCTTTAGAAAAGACAGGAATAATTTGATCAGAAGATATAGAACAACAATTTTGATTTGAAATTTTAATTTATATTTTATGTACCATCAATTTTTGAAGGTTCACGTACGCAGAACAAAATTTTGATAATCATTATATGAGATATTTTTATTGAAGATATTTAAGTGTGAATTTTATTTTAATATATAATGTTGTATCATATATGTTTTTTATTATTCCGGCATTTTTTGTACCTTACCTATCGTATGTAAAGCATAGATATTGAAGCACGAGTATATCCCTGAGATAAGAGAATTAAATAGTGTGATAGAATCATAATTGCATCATTTAAATGAGTTTAATTGATTAATTAATTATCTAATTAATTGCTTTGTGCACCTCAGACGTCTTATATTACATTATATATATATATTTATATATATTAATAAAGTATTCAACTAGTGAATTCAGAGGTTTATTCGGTCAGTCAGGTTGGCAAAATAAAAAACAGAAGTCAACTACTTCATAAGTTTATCGAAGACGTTTCGCTTTATATTTCTAAAGCTTCATCAGTTCTCTAAAATACAAAGATGACATAGAGTTTATAAGAAATACAGATCTAATAATTTATTACTTACAACTCAATATGTAGTATTAAAGATGTTATCGTATATGTACTTAAGTTTACTCATAAATTTAGAACTAACTTAAAAAAAAATTAAACAGAAATATGCAAAAAATAACATTCGCAGAAACGAAGATTTACAAAAACTTTAAACGTACATTTGGCTTCATTTAGAGATGGTTCTCCAATGAAGACAAACAAAACACTGATTTATTGCAATCTACGCAAAACGACGTGGCGCGATACCGAAAATGTTTTTCAAGGGCCATATGTTCAACAAATTCCAAGGTTTGAGACAATTATGAACTTCTACGGGGGTCATTGAAAGAATAGTTGGACGGGTGGATTTGTAACGGAAAAATTTGATATGATTTTTTTTTTTTTGTAATTTATGTTTTAATGAAACTTAGAGATTTGGGATGATTATGTTATTGTTTTGAATGGAAAATCCGGCTATTTTAAATTATGAATATTGGTATTATTTATTTCGTAAGATGAGAGAGTGGTAAACCTGGCTCAAATTGTCAATGTCGGTTCTTTTGTTTATTGCAGATGGGTTTTTTAGGATCTCACACATTTCAATAAAGGAGCGTTTTTGATGGTTATTTTGTTTGGCCAGTATTTTAGTATTTGAGAAGTCAATGTGATGTTTGGTGGAAATGGCGTGTTGTGCAAGGGCACAAGAGGGTTTGGAAAGTCTAATGTCGCTTTTATGTGAAGTTATACGCCCTAGAAGTGAACGACTGGTTTGGCCAATGTAGCAGGAATTGCATTCAGAACAGGGGATTTGATAGACAACATTAGTGTGCTCTAACGAGCTTAGTGGAGTTTTGGACTTGGAGAATAACTTTCCAATAGTTTTAGTGTTTTTTAGGGATATTTTGATTTGATTTAGGGATATATATATATATATATATATATATATATATATATATATATATATATATATATATATATTAGATATATGTTAGAAATAGCAAATCAGTAAAAAAAAAGAAAATAAGTGCAACTTGACGAAAATAAATCATTTTGGTTAATTGGACAAAACTCTAAGCTCAATAAATAATAAAATTTTAATTTACAAAACAGTTATCAAACCAATATGGACACACAGCATTGAGCTGTAGGGCTGTAGTAGTCAATCTTATATTGTTATAAGATTATATCTGTGGTATATGTGTATATATGTGATTCAAATAAACAAAAAAAGTAATAAAAAAAATCATTATACATTTAACAAGCGACCACAAAACATTGAAAGAATTACATCATTTGTAAAAGGAAATTATCAATGTAAGTCTATGTGAAAAGAGCAGGCAAAAGCGTAATGATTTAACATGATTAGAGGGTGTTTCTTAACATAAATTGATTAAATCCAACTTAGCTTAGTACAAAAGTGTCCACAAAAAAAGTTACAGTCCTTTGAACTTACAAAATAAAAATTGTTTTTTTTTGCATTATCTCCTAAACTACTTAACATTTTGTAATAAAAATGGACACGTTACTTTCTTGTTCTGAAAGAATTTTTCATACAAAATAAACAACAAAATCTAAACGCACAGAAAAATTTTAAGGGTAGTGTGCAGCCCTAAATCCCCCCAAACTTTTGAATACGTTTAATCAAATGAATTTTGTAGCATCAGTAGTTTTACAAATTATTTTTAAAAAAATTTTGTCTCATTATACTTTTTTCAAAAAACAGTTTTTATTGAGTTAAGTAAATAAATGGCTTAAATGAATTAACAAGTACCAAAAATGTCTATAACCTCTATAAATATAATACTACAATAAATTTATTAAAAATCCTTTATAAAAGGTATATAATTTAAAAATCCCAATCGAGCCACAATGTATTGAGAAATAAATATCTGGGTAAAAACCCGTTAAAAATTATCTGTTTAAATTTAGTTTACATTATATTATGGTATTAAACATTAGGATGGTAAAGTTACCAGTAGATATGGTAACATGGCGACGTATGACTCCACGTGAAGTTGCTGGTCCTGAGACGACGTGTCTACGAGGACTTGATGATAGGAACTTGATGATGATAGCCGTTACTCTCATCAAGTGTACACTTTGTGTACACTTCTGTACCAAGGTAAGTTGAATTCAATCAATTTATTTTTGTCCCCGGAATGCGTAATTTAATTTATGACATACCTTTTTAAAACAACCTATATATACCGATAACAGTTTTCCATAGAATAAAGTGACAAAACGCACTAAGTATAACTAAAAACAAAAATACCAAAAAATAAATATCTAATCTCGACAGAATCTTATATTAAACTACTATGGGTTAAGAAAAAAAATCAGAAAACAAAACTTTATGTTTGCAAGGTCTGCAGCTTTGTAAAATAGCGATTTGTCACTTCATTTGTGGCGGTCTGTTATATAACCATTATAGTTTATTTGTTTAAGCTAAGACAAGTAGTGTTGAGGTTTAGGACTAATCATGACTTAATATCGTCAAAACAAAACAAACAAAATTTTTTTGACTTACAAATACTGCAACGTTTGGCATCACGATAGTCTTGTTTAATAAATTTACAGGATTTATTTCTGGTGCATACTGAAGAGTTCTATTTGATGTGTAGGAAAGTGTTCCATTGTCGTTAAATACGACATTTTTATGTACAAGGATTTCTCTGAAAAATAAAAAAAAGTTATCGGGGGATTCATTTGAACACATTTAAGAAAATACATTGTACTCTGTGGCGGCTGGTGTAACCGGCTTCCAATAAAAATGGTGTACAAACAGTTAATTATTCATATAAGCAGTTCATATAAACACTTTTCTGTTAAATCTTTCTTCAATTTTTTGTTGAAACCTTATTCCATTAAAATTAATTTGCTTAACCCAGATATGCCTAAAACTTAACTGAAAATATGTGCCGGCCAACTGTTGAATGGATTGTTGAATTCAACAGTTGGCCGGCACACGTGGCAATTGAAAACTTTTTAACTGTATTTTTCTTATGTGTTAAAGTATAATAATTTATTAAGTTTGGTCTTTTACACCATGCAATTTTTATATATTTTAAATATTTTAAATTTGACTCAATCAATGAGTGGTGCGTAAAATTGTCACCTGTAAGTGAAAGATCCACGAAAGACGAACCTCACTAACTTTTTTCCTGATGATGAAAATAAACATTTTCGAAAGCTTGAAACTTAGTTAAAAGAGTACACTTATTTCACCGCTGAATAAATCCCAATAAACCTCAAAGCGATATATATATATATATATATATATAATATATATATATAAATATATATATATATAATATATATTATAATAATATTAGTATTTATGTGATATGTTTTGTATTATTTATTAAATGTTCATAACTATTCTAGGCTTTTGTTTTTCAAAATAATAATTGCAATAAATCACTGTATGACCGAGAACTGTCAATTTTGAAATACGTTAGTATCATGTCTAATTGGTAAATTTTTTATGTGTTTTATTCATACGCTGGTATATGTGAGTTCGAATCCCAATATGAATTTCCTTCTTTATTTTTGAAATATTTAAAAACCCCACGTTAATATTATTTAATATATGTAATATATGCAAAAATGCCAAATTTCAAAATAAAATAAAAATTTACAACATAATCCGAGTTGTTGCAAAATCATTACATATGTAAGATATAGGTAAGAGAGAAAAATAGAAAATATATTTTCTCTCTCGAGAAAAAAATATATAAATATATATATATATATATATATATATATAATATATATATATATATAATATATATATATATATATATATATATATATATATATATATAATATATATATATATATATATATATATATATATAATATATATATATATATATATATATATATATATATATATATAAGGTAGTCCAAAATTTTTTTGACTAGTTTGGAAAAAATATGTAAATACTTTTTTCTTTTTGGGTGTGGTAGTCAATAAAAAATAGAGCTTTGCTAAGGCGTACTATTTATTCTGAAATCCGAGCTTTCGGTGGTTATTTGCCACCTTTATCAAGGTCTACAATGAAAATTACTGTGTTATAACATTAGGCTGATGTAATATAAAAGTTATAAAAACTTACCAGAAAGTAAGATTCATAGCATATAAAACACAACGTTAAATAACATAATGTGATCTGAATTATTGAAGGCATTAAAAATTTTAAAAACTTTAAAATACTTAAAAATTAAAGAACATGTTACAAAGTTTAAAAAGTAAAAAATAAGACGACATGTTTGACAAAAAACAGTCGTCTTCGCAGGTTTGAATTCAGTCACATCTCACGAACAGAAAGAGGTAGTAGGAGGAACTATTGTTGTTTAAATAGTTCGATGTAACTACAAAAAACAAACTTTCAAACTGATGTCTAACAAAATGCCGTTTGTGATTTTAAGTACTACCAACCATGTTACCAACTTAGAATTGAGAGGGAAATTTAAAAAAAGGTTTTATTATGTCAAAAAATAAAAAGAAAATAGTATTTAGTAAGTAGGTTTAGAAAAAACAAACAACCAAAACAAAATGAACATCTGAATAATAACTGAAGTTAATCATGATAATTATAGCAATTAATAATGGAATTTACGAAACATGAAGCACTCTGAGATGCAGAAAACCCTAGTCAAAAGTCAAAATAAAATTGTAAATTTTGCTAAGATTCTGGATCTCAGATCTTTTATTCAGATTGTTGTTATCACTCCTGCTGATATGTACCATTTCTAAGAATGTTCTCTTAAATTTATTTTTCTCTCTGGCTAATATTTTAACATTGTTGAAATCTATCTTATGGTCTAGATCGATAGTGTGTTCTGCCAAAGCACAAGTGGGTTTATTTAGTCTACAGTCACTCTTATGAGAAATGATACGACTAGACAGATTTCTTCCAGTTTCACCAATGTACGTGGATGGACATTCAGTACATTGAATGCAATAAACAACATCTCTTGACTCTAAAGTAGTTAGGGGTTGTTTTATTTTGCTATATAGCTGACGTATGGTTTTGATGTTCTTGTTAGCTATTTTGATGTTCTTAAATAGCTAACAAGAACATCAAAACCATACGTCAGCTATATAGCAAAATAAAACAACCCCTAACTACTTTAGAGTCAAGAGATGTTGTTTATTGCATTCAATGTACTGAATGTCCATCCACGTACATTGGTGAAACTGGAAGAAATCTGTCTAGTCGTATCATTTCTCATAAGAGTGACTGTAGACTAAATAAACCCACTTGTGCTTTGGCAGAACACACTATCGATCTAGACCATAAGATAGATTTCAACAATGTTAAAATATTAGCCAGAGAGAAAAATAAATTTAAGAGAACATTCTTAGAAATGGTACACATCAGCAGGAGTGATAACAACAATCTGAATAAAAGATCTGAGATCCAGAATCTTAGCAAAATTTACAATTTTATTTTGACTTTTGACTAGGGTTTTCTGCATCTCAGAGTGCTTCATGTTTCGTAAATTCCATTATTAATTGCTATAATTATCATGATTAACTTCAGTTATTATTCAGATGTTCATTTTGTTTTGGTTGTTTGTTTTTTCTAAACCTACTTACTAAATACTATTTTCTTTTTATTTTTTGACATAATAAAACCTTTTTTTAAATTTCCCTCTCAATTCTAAGTTGGTAACATGGTTGGTAGTACTTAAAATCACAAACGGCATTTTGTTAGACATCAGTTTGAAAGTTTGTTTTTTGTAGTTACATCGAACTATTTAAACAACAATAGTTCCTCCTACTACCTCTTTCTGTTCGTGAGATGTGACTGAATTCAAACCTGCGAAGACGACTGTTTTTTGTCAAACATGTCGTCTTATTTTTTACTTTTTAAACTTTGTAACATGTTCTTTAATTTTTAAGTATTTTAAAGTTTTTAAAATTTTTAATGCCTTCAATAATTCAGATCACATTATGTTATTTAACGTTGTGTTTTATATGCTATGAATCTTACTTTCTGGTAAGTTTTTATAACTTTTATATTACATCAGCCTAATGTTATAACACAGTAATTTTCATTGTAGACCTTGATAAAGGTGGCAAATAACCACCGAAAGCTCGGATTTCAGAATAAATAGTACGCCTTAGCAAAGCTCTATTTTTTATTGACTACCACACCCAAAAAGAAAAAAGTATTTACATATATATATATATATATATATATATATATATATATATATATATGCATTGTACCAACCGATGATCCTTATCACGACGATTCCCAGGGTATCAGGTTCCACTTCCAACAACCTGAGCCGATAAGGATCCTTGAAAATGCAGTACCAGCAGAGTCAGCGGGACCCAAGTTTTTACACATTCCCACTGAGTCAGCATTTAGTAATATTATAAAACTGCTTGTCGCTCGTAACTCAGGGTTCAGTATATTTTTGTAGTTCATTTATTATATTTTTATATTTCATTTATTAGTAACACGTAACTTTAATAATTGTATTTTCATAATAAATTAATTTTTTTAAAGGTCAAAAAAGTGTATATATATATATTATATATATACATATATATATATATATATATATATATATATATATATATATATATATATATATATATATATGTTATGCGCAAACATTTAACAAATTATTTCAAAACGCGATGTCAAGCACTTATACTGTGTTTGTATACTTTATGGTTCCATAGGTGTCATAATTACATTTGTTTTTAATTCTTACGTAGATACAGTTTGTAACACGTTAATACATTTTATTTGAAAATTGAGATAGCATTCTAGAATGTTTTGAAAATATGATTGCGAAAATCCTACAAAATATAACACAGAGACCATAATTCAGTGGTCTCATCCTTTCCTGCTATTTCAGTACTGTTTTCCTTTAGAAAACATTATTTAGCCAACTGCAGAAAATTTAAATGGACACTCTGTAAAACATTGCTCTGTAAAATTGCAATATGATATTGACAGTTTTGATAATGTATTGGTTAATATTAGAAACAACCTACCCTTTGTAATGAAGAATAAGCAAAAATCTAAGATAATGATGAGAATCTTTATTACTCTGAGAGAGTAACATGACCATATTATATTTAAAATTAAGTATCGTTTTTCTTTTAAAAACATTTATCGGTTGCAAAGTTATTTTAAGAGAAAAATATGAACATTGTAGAAACGAATTTTTCATTGTTCTTTTGTAGTCCATTTACAATGTTTGAAAAATATACCCCAGTATTTTATTTGCCCACTTGCTTCCTTGCTAAAACTTGCTCCAAACTAAATTGTTTTAAAGTTATAAGCAAGAAAATAAAGAAAAAAATCAATGTTTTATGTAATCTGTAAATATTTAAATTTTTTTTATAATGTTTTCTACCTATCTGAAAGGGAAAATAAGTCAATTATTATTACTAAAGTTATCACCGAACACGAATTATTATTTCTGCAAAAATCCGAATGCCACCTCTCTTTACTAATCTTTTCTAGTTCTTCTAGGAAGTTTTCTAGGACGTTTGCTAAAAATTCTTTTAGGGTCGCAAAAAGAGAGATTCTTATTTTTGGTAGTTTTAAAAAACAGCGTCTTTTTGTACATGTTTTTGTAAATACATATTAGTTAGTTACATTTTCTTGTAGTTTACTCTATATTTGTTTCTACTTGAAAGAAGAATATACGTACCTAAAGACTATTGGACCTACTTCCTCTAACTTTAATTTATTATCAGTCTTGTTTAAAAATCTCTCTGAGTTAGTAACATTAAAAAGATATATTTTAATTATGGCATCTTTTGGCGGCACCACCCACCAATCATATGCTGGAAGACCTAAAAAAATCAGATGTCATAGATTTTTAAAAGCTTGTTAAATAAGTAGCATTGCAAGGTTTATTTGCTTCTTTAATCTATTTTTTGATATTTAAGCTAAAACAAATTTTTGAATTACTCCGCTAATAATAAGCGGTTAGAATATGTTAAGTAGCTATAGAACACATGACTGAATGTGCATTATATATATATATATATATATATATATATATATATATATATATATATATATAATATAATATATATATATATATATATATATATAATATATATATATATATATATATATTTATATATAAAAAAAGATTGCATTTCATTTTAATTAGGAACTCCACCATTGCCCTACACGTGTTTCGGGTTATTCAACCCATCGTCAGGAGCCCTTGTGGAAGTTCAACTGAAATGAAATGCAGCCTAGTATTTGGTGAATATAACCATAATAACAGCCAGGGTACGCAAGCAGCGACATCTATACGAAATAACAAGAAGTTGAGAGACCTCTTGTAACAAAATAAGAAGGGTGAGAGTAGGGAACGGTAACAAAAATCTACAGTGTAGCAATAGGGTAAACTCTAAAATGTACCTTGATACACCCACGGATTAATATCTGGAATAACAGAAGATGGAAGGGATTAGATAGAAATAAATTATATAAAAGAAATAAATAACATGTAAATATGAATATTTAAATATAACAAAAATAATGTTGGCTAGCGACTATGCAGGAGAATGATCACTTGACACTCAAGAGGGATTAGGCCAATTTGCATGCCCTACAGTGACCGTAAGATATAAGAACTAATGACAAGAAATCTACCAAGAAATAAACAGATGAAAGATAAAGTTGCTCTACTGAATGTTTGGGCGCCAGGAAGTTAAATGGTTTCTTCCGAGATATCTTGTATTGCTGAAATATTAAAGGATAGGTACCAAGTGAAATCTTAAATTGTTTTAACCCAACTTTAATAAATACCTATTTTATGTACAAATTATTTTAAACCCTTATAGAACAATATAACCCAACACCTCTTATATACAATTAACTTATCTATATTTACAATGAAAACCCTGAATATAATGATAAAACAATTTCCCCTCTAATGTACCTGATAATGTGAAATTTTGACTAAGGTTATGCAATAGTTAAGTATATAATATAAAATGAAATATATAATAATATAAACGTTACAATTATCAAATAAATGAAATAAACCTCTCCGGATATGTGTGCACACTATAACCTGATAACGAGAGATTCCAGGGGAGTTACAATCTCAACCCTTGGTGGACAATAAATGTTTTACTAAATTTACAATGACTATTATTTTAGAAAAAATGAATGTAATTATTATTAAGGATATATTTTGAAAAAAAAAATTGAAAGTGAAACAAAAGTTAAACCTTGAAGAGGGCGTTAAAAAGTTGCTACAAATATTTAAATAGAAAAAAAATTAGTTCTGCCTGTTAGTTTCTGCAGGTTTCCCTCGAGATCCTCTGGGAGAACTAGTCGCAGGTGGGTGATACGCCAAACCTGGACACCATATAAAAAAGGGAGGTACTTTTAAATTAAGTCCTTGAAATTCTTCTTAACCCATTAAATAAAAATTACTACTTGTATTCCAATTCCCAAAAATTAAATAAAAAGTTTTTTTTTCTTCCCAGACCTGCACTGGATTCCGGACGTTGGCGACTGAGAGTGATCCCAACTTAATGTATTTTCACCAAAAACAAAACAAAACAAAAAAAACCAACTGTTTTTCTTCCACAAAATAATAGCTTCTTCGAAATAAAATAAAACTTAAACCAAACTCTGAAACGTGGCACTCTCAGTCGCCTAACACGTCTGTTCAATTCACGGACTTCCAAGCAAGTGCCGGTCTGATGGCGCTGAAGCTGTTACGACGATCAGAGCCGTAGGCAGATGGCGTGATTTATTGCCAACTTTTAAAAATAAAATTTACCGAAGTTATTCAAATGTTTGGTTTAAGAATATTTCCAAATGAATTTAATTTGTAATTAAATTAAAGGATTCCAGTGACAAAGCAGTAAATGGGTATTTAAGTAACGGACTCGTTACATCCCCTCTTACTTGGAGAAAAAAAAATTTTTAAAGTGAAAAAAAAATTTTTTTTCTTTCACTTGACTGGTTGGATAGATGTCGGTTAACCCATACTTCAACCATATGTGGAACAATCAAGAATCGAGAAAAAAAATATAAACATATATATAAAAAATTATAGCTATGGCACCAATTTGCCAAATACAGCTATTATATTAACTCACTATCATACTTCCAAAACAATCTACATCGATTCACACGATTTTAATTAACCACAGATTATGAGTGATGTAGAAATAAAGAAAGGGTTTCATCTAAAGATACCCACATGTATCTAAGTACGAAGTCACATACTATCTAGAGTAAAATTAAAGTAAAGTAAAGCTCTAACATAGCATAGTATAGACTAGCAATAGAAATACTCAATACAAATAATCCAATGTAATGTGAAATCGGACCCTGGTTCCAAAATTGACTCATCGATGGACAACAGATTTATAGGAGAGCATATCCAAGGAATAATCAATCAGGCAAATAGGTGGACCGATACACAATAATAAGTAACAATAAAAATACTAAACGTATATAAAACAATATACGTAACAATAAAAATACCAAATATATGTAAACCAATATAAGTGTCGAATTGGATGGTAAATCCAAAATTGACCATACAGTGGACAACAGATTTATAAAGTAGCATATCCAGAGGTAATCAATCAGACAAATAATGATCCAATTCACACTATAACCAAATAACCAAATAGGGTAGGTCCACATATACCCACATCCGGTAATATGTGCCTAACCTAAAAATTCATCAATTAAATTATTGGATCAAAATGTGGGACTAACGGCTTAAACAAAAGGACAGCCATAAAATCGATTCCATCCTGATGATATGCCATCAGTACATTTGGGATCCAAAATAAAGACCAAAAATAAAAACTAGGAGGTGTTATAAACTCAATCATTCTAGAAAATGCAAAGCTAAACAACTTGAGCTCAAAAAGGGTAGAGTACCAAAGCATGTGAACTGCGGTGGTAACTTCTTAGAACAAAATTAACTTATGCTGATACTCGATAACTATAGCATGTAGCTACAACAAATTTATAAGAATATCTAGCATAAGAGCACTAAAAAAGAGTTTAATGTGCCAGTAAACTCTAACAACCATAGCTAAATAGTAAGAGTAAGGTAGAAGTAATAACAAACAGAACATCAAGAACGAGTAGACCAATTTCTGAAGAAACTGCAAATTTATAGGTCGTTCTGATATTAATAAAAGAGAACAGGATAATTTCTTGTTCAATATACCAAAATATAAATAAGTGCCTAAGGAAAGAAGTGAAAATAACTATAAATGGTCATTTGTTGCCAAAATATGAAATACTATTCATAACTGTAATCTAAACTTGCTAGCTGTAAAGGGAATATGTCATGGATTGCTTCCTCCAATAAACTATATAAGTAAGAATAATAAATCAGCTAAGGAACAATTCAGTTATTAGACCAAAGTCTGAAAATATTAAGGAGCTAAGGAGCTAATAAAATATTAAGGAGCTAAAATATTAAGCTAAATATTCAAATCCTAATTAACATTAACAATGGAAGACATTCTACTGCCTAGATAACTGTACAACTTGTCATGAAAATGGTGAATTCCGAAATTCATTGAACAACTGTGGCCACTAATTGAACTAAAACTTCGAACCCACGTATTCATTCACCTATACACAGGCAGAATAGTCTATATAATATAGGAATGTACTAAAATTATGCATACTGATTTTCCATATAAATTCCTAATGACTGACTTTGAAAAAAAAAACATCCCACATAGCAAATCGAGATACACGTTATTATAAACTAGTCATGACCAATAAACTTAATCCAAATACATAAAAATTACAACATTCTTTCCAAACTGGCAAAACAAGTAAGTAAAATGGGAAGAAAGTGATACAACACATAAACATATAGCACAGTACAGTAGCATTACAATATTTAGTTCCATACCAGTGCAACACCTAATATAAGTAAAAATCTCTAATGGCTTTAATAAATTTAACTTATTATAAATAAATACTAATCAAATTATAAGCTGTAGATATTCCAAATCTGGTGATTAATAACAAAAATCTAAGAAAATACCCAAATCGTAACCAAACCGAGCCAAAACAATAACAATCATAGGAATAAGTTAACTTAATAGACATTAAGTTAATCTTCCTCTGAAGATGAAGATGCTGCCTCATCTGTTGTATTATCAGGGAGTAAATCCTTTATATGAAATTGACCAATTCGTCTATTTGTCGAATTGTCTTTTAATTCATATACTAAAGGAGATATTACCCTAACGACAGTACAGGGAACATATTTCTGACAAAATTTAGCAGAAATGGCATCACCTTTATTTGATTTTACAAAATTCCGTTTCAAAACTCGATCGCCCACAAAAAATCGCAAATCTCGTTTCCTCAAATTATACTGATGCTGATTTCTAAGGTAAGAAGCTTTTAACTTCTTCCTAATGTCAGCGAATATTGGAGGTAGGTTTTGGAGATCTTCCATACGGTGAAGTTTCTCAGAAATTTGAGGAAGAGTTGTCGAATTTTCAGAAATTAAACCAAAATAATCACCTGACAATGGAACATGCCTACCAAAATTAACATAAGCTGGAGAACACTGAGTGATTTCATGAACAGAAGTTCGAATGGCTTGAGCAACTGAATGGATGTACTTATCCCAAGCTCTATGATCACTGTAAGTGTAAGATCGAAGAGCAGTAACAATGCTACGATTTACACGTTCAGTGTGGTTAGCTTGCGGATGATAAGCTGCATTGTAGAATATCTTTTGGACCTTATATTTACTTAAAAGATCTTTAAATGCCTTAGAAACAAATTGTGGACCATTATCACATGATACTATTTGGGG